TTCAATTTTATTTCATAAACGTTTCTATGACAAATTTATAAAACACTTTTATTGCCTACAACTGTATTATGTTCACCGATCATCTAATACAATCAATTAGCATTTTGAAAGTAATTATAAAATACTAATAAAATAAAACTGTTGCAACACCATGGAATTATAAAACAACTTTGCTGGTTGGGTGACCACCATACAGTAACGAATGTATTTTTTTTTGTGAGTTTTCGTCTTTGAGAAGTGACTGGGTGACGGCATCCAACCACTCTTCTGAACGTCTCCTGTTGTCGTAGAGAATCCACTTTTCATTTCACGTGATGAAATCCAAAAAAGAATCGTTTCGGTCGCGCAAAAGCAAAGAAGAATAGATCTCGAAACGTAACCATTTCTGTCGATCGTTCAAATCGTTGGGCACTCTCCTATCGAACTTTCTGACTATTCGAATACGTTTCAAACCATCGAAAACTGCATGGGAGGTGAAGCCCAGTTCCTCCGCCATCCCATGCACCAGCAGTCTCCACCAAACAGGCAAAATATTGATGAAAAAGATTTTGAAAAAAATTAACACATAGTTACATTTAGGTGAATATCTACCTTGAAAGATTATCAAATGAATGACTTGGTTGTGCTGACATTTCCTTATACAGTGTGTGAAAGTCAAATGTAATAAATTCATTATTTCGGTTACGGTACATATTCTAACAAAATCCCGGAAAATTTCAAATTTGAATTATAATTTGACATACCTACTTCAACGGTTAAATGCTGTCCCAACCTTCAACCCCGTCTAATGACAGGTCCAACCCCGATTTCTTCAACTGGGACGTTTAGGTTTGTCACATATTGTTTGAAGGCTTTTTTCATTCTCTATTCAAAAATGTTATCACTTTCAAGTTTATTGCAACAATTAAGATTGAATAATTTGAAATCATGTCGTTACCTCTATGTTAAGACTCAATAGATTATNCTATTATTTCATTTCAGGTTTATTTTGGTTAATATGATTATTATTTTCAGCTATTCATTTTCAATTCTTCTTTTTCAGTTGTTTCAGGGATTTCAAATCATTTTATATAGTAGACAATGAAAGTCCGAACTCGTGAGATTTTGCATTACATTTTAGTTTTTGAGTGTATTTTATCGAATGATTTTAATTTATTTTATCTTAATTGTTGCAATAAACTTGAACACGTTAACACTTTCGAATAGAGATTGAAGAGACCTTCCAAACGACTTTCCATTAAAAAAATTGGGGCTTGTACCTGTCATTCGAAGGGGGTTGAAGGGTTTTTTGTGGTGACGAATAGGTAATCTTTCGATTGAAAAATAGTTTTCAATATTTCACTTATGTTTTTGATTTTCAACATAACATAATTCTCTCATAGATATTCTTTATAAAAGCCTTCGAAGAATTGTCCCAAAAAAGTTAGATACATTTCATGCTCAATTTTAAAAATTACCAAGATTCTTTAATGTAAACTTACATATATCCAGTTTCTTGGAGGACCAGCTATAAGCGACTTGTTTTTACCACTATTTTCAGGTTGTAATCAACATTATAATTATTTGTGTTAACTACAGCTTTTGGTAGGTAGGTATGGCATTTTTTGCTAAATTTTCCTTTCTTCAAGAAGTCTTTTTTCAAATTATCAATATTTCCAGCATTTTATGGGATATTCCCAAAAACTCACATCTTCTTCTTAACCAAATATTTCTTAATTTGTCAATTTTTTGTTTGTGTGACTTCAATTGTGAATTAATCTGTGTATAATTGAGAACAGAATATTTCATTAGTCTAATACGATATAAATTGCCATCATCTGAAGACGATTGTGGATACTTACAATCAAATCGTAGTGAAGTAACTTGGTTTGGAATCTTTTAATTTTTAATTTTCATTTCTTGTTATTAGTTTTTTAATTTCCATCTCGTGTTTTGGTTGTTGTTTGTATTTCATTTCATTGTAATTTCAGTTTTCTTATTCAATGTAATTGTTATTTTTCAGCTAATCTTTTTAATTTTTACAGATTCTTTCAGGGATTTCAAATCATTTTATATAGTAGACAATGGAAGTCCGAACTGATGAAATACACCATGAAACATTGTCAATCACCTTCAAACAAACCTAAGAAACGAATGATACTCAATTATAATTTTTGGTGAAGGGGGACTCTTAAAGTTGCTTTACGGCACTTGCTAACTAGACTGTTTTCAATGGGATCTTAGATCTTGTTTCAAATTTCTTACGGTTCCATCAAACTTTTCCATTACACTTGCTGGAATAATTTTCGTTTCAATAGCTTAAATATTCAGCCCTGGTTTTATTTATTTTCGACCAAATAGCTGTTCCTGAACTGTATCAGGTAATCCAACTGCGTCAAATCGGCAAGAAATTCGTTCACAACCGACCGATAACCTTGATTATAAATGCAAGTCCTAATCAACCTTCTCATCGACCCATATTACAACAAACAGGCATTCAAAACCAACAAGTGCATAGAAACGGTTTACCACAATGATCCGTAGGTATTTAGTGAGGCAAAACCGAGAGGAATCAACAGGTAGCTGAAATAATTATAGACACTATCGCTCGAAGGCCGACATCGTACGGTTTCTACCGAATGAGCCTGGGAACGCGCCGAACCGCTCGTCTCATATAATAAACCCCTTCCACCGGGATGCTGAATTGTTTATGACGAAGGACCAAGGACCAAGTTTTTCCCGCATAACTTTGCAAACGCCGTACGACGACAGAAGCGATAGGAAGTGTTGTCAGTAGAGGGTCTGTAGGATAGTTATAGTTCGTAGTAAGTCGATTCAGTGTGCGGTGGAAATCAATTGTGATAAGTTATAATGGTAACTATGACTTCGGTCGTTACCAGTACCAGCATGATTCAGCCCAGCAGTTTGTCGCCTACTCCTAGTACCACTAGTGGGGAAGGTTCCACTACTACAAGGAGGACTAGTGAAAATAGGAGGGTGAGTCACTTGAACTAGATTTTGATAGTGTTGATGTTGTTGCCCTAGTGAGGTTGTTGAAACTTTGTGAACACTTTTTCTATCCTTTCAGGAAACTTTAATATTTCATTTTGTTATATTGGAGACCAATAATAATAAGGAAACAGCATAAAAAATATGTTTGACGTCAGTAGATTTTATTGCATAGACAACAGTGGAGTTTCTGTTTTCGGTGATTATATTACGGGTACTTATTACTTGTACACATTTTTTTGGGGAACAAAAAGAGATTTATTTAAAAAAAGTTACACTTCTGTGACTGATGAAAATTTAGTTCATTGTCCAATCACCGTTTTTTTTTTTTCGAAAACAAAAGATCTAAACACAATTTTTACACACTGCCCTCATTTGGTAATTACAACTACTTTTCTCATAATAAGATTGAATAGAAAGATGTATCGGGGCACCCTTAGATTCCTATAGGCGGCTGATGAGTTTCTTTTCAACCTGACCATTGTTACGTTACGTGAAAATCTGGTCTATCTCCTGTCTTTTTTGTCTATTGACATATTCAGATCGTAGTATTTTTCTATGAAAAACATTTTCTTTCCAGACTAGCGCTCTAACTTGATAATATACGCAAAATACTTCTTTTATGCCTCTCACCTCTCACATTAAAATAACTATGACACTATCAATTAATGAGTTATACAGGGTGTAACAGTATACGTTAAAATATCCAGATGGCGTATTACAGAGGTAATTTCAAGAAAAAAAGTCAATATAAACTTGTGTCCGGAAATGCTTCGTTTCGGAGATACAGAGAAATCTTTTGTTCGTTTTTTAAAAATAACTTTTGCAAAAAATATGTTATTCGCACAAAATTTGGTACCTACCCGATGTTTTTTTCACGTGGGAAACCATAATTACGTATTAATTTTCATATAACACCTGGAGGGCGCCGCCTACGCTGTCATCATTTATTTCAAATTGCCCTAACTTTTTGTGTTTTTCGAGAAGAAACCAAACTCCCACACCTTTTCCAAGTAAAAAACGTGGACTTTCTCAACAACGCTGGAGGTGATCGTTTTCGATATATTTACGATCACCTCCAGCATTGTTGAGGAAGTGTACTATTTTTACTTGGAAAAGGTGTGGAAATTAGTGTATTATCAAAGAAGGGCAATTTGTTATGTTACACGAAAATTAATACGAAATTATGGATTCCAAGCAAATAACTTATATCATGCAAATAAGTTATTTTTAAAAAACAAACAAAAAAATTTGAATTTCAACACCCTGTATCTCCGAAACGAAGCCTTCAAGGATATAAATTTACGAAGACTTTCCTTTGTTACACCCTGTATAGAGATACACAATGTCTAAACTCATATTTTGAAAAGAAAAATACAAAGATTGTGACTTATTTTTCACCTTTTGAAAGCTACGTTATCAGCAAGTAACATGTACTGTATCGTATTTGAAAACATAGAAATCACTACGAAAATTGCAGTAGTGTACCTATCAAAAATTCGACTAAAAAAGTTAATTATTTGGCGTGCGTTGTGGGCGAATTGCAAGTCCCAAAAAAGTCAAAGTTCTACATACCGTCAAAATACATTCTAATATGATGTAAGAACCGTCCCAGTCTGTTCCTGAAAGAATATTTTATTCATTTTTGCAACGTCCGAAATTTCCTGTAAATGATATTTGATCACGGTCAGTTCTGATCTAAAATTAAAACAAAAGATCGCCGTCATTGGACCTTTGCCAATACAGGCACGCGTCTGTGGGTTGCCGATGTTGATGTTGAGCAATAACTTGTGTTTCCCACGGTTGTTTTAACCGATTTCCTTTCTCTCTTTCCAGAGCAACAAACCAATTATGGAGAAGAGGCGGAGAGCGCGGATAAATAACTGCCTCAATGAATTGAAAACACTTATCTTGGACGCGATGAAAAAAGACGTAAGTATATACTAGGTGACCTTCGACTCGTCAGTCAGACCACTATTTTGGATTTATTGAGGATACCCAATGAAATTTGATTGAGATAAAGCAAAATCTAATCAACAAAATACACAAATAACCTTCGGTTTCGTTGAAAGTACTGCACTATCGAAGTGTCGCGGTTTTGAGTGTCACACCTACTTACCGTAATGATATACCTAAATAAGAGATCAATCTTGAGTTTTGACTTCGAAACATTTCATTTTAATTTGATAGTTGTGATCTCGAAACGAAGAAGATTGTTGAGTTGAAGTCTTATACGAAGTTAATTCGTGTGGCATAAAAACTAAATAGTTACCGAACGGCGGCAGTTTTTTTGTATAGCATGGGCGGCGTGGTATAATTTAAAAAAAAATCAATTTCATTTCCCATAAATCTACACGGATTTTTTTCCATTAGTCATGAAGAGTAATGCCGGTACATTAGTCTTTTATTAAGCTATCCGGATTGACTTCGTATAGACTATACGTAGAATCAAATAATACTTGGTGTATAATAAAATAATGTGATGTATCCAATATCCATATCATACAGTTAATGATAATAATAATAAGTTAAATAGAATCAACAACAATCAAATAAAACATTACCCGTTCTATTCATCAAAGATGAGAGGGAACCTATAACTTTTCTTTGCCAGCTATTTTGAATCAATTATATGTGTTTGACTACAGAATGACTCCATTGACACTATTTACTACATATTAATCTCATTACGCAGTTGACATTGAAACTTTCTGTCTATACTTCAAATATCTTTAATAAATACTCCTAATTATCTTTTGGATACCATTAAGAGCATAGGCGTAATATTTTTCCAAATAAACTCATGAAAGACACAGAAAAATAGGTGAAAAAGTTATTCAAAATTTTCAAATTCTATTTGGAGGAATTAGCGAAAGTTATAGTGCGTGAAATGAATATATTTTTCATATTTTTTCGGTATTATCACATATTTTTTCTTATTCTTCACTCATCTACGTTCAAATGATCAACTGAGTTTTTAAAATCATATTGTCGTATTGTACTAAATTTTTATCGTACAGCATATTATTTTTTGCAAAAATGAGGAAGATTTTAAAGGATTTGTTACAAAAATGCTCGATTTGAAAAATACGTTTACACTCTTAAGTATTGTTGTTCAATTTTATAAAACAGCAACTCTATTTATTTTACATTGTTGATACAAAAAATTGTGATCTTTCTTGATGAAAACAAGAAAAAACAGTTGTATTTCTCAACTTTCACAAAAAAATTCATTTATTTTCTCCGTTTCGATATGAAAGAAATATCAGATCTACAAATTTTTAAAGTTTTTTCAAAATGAAATTGTCAGTCCAATAGTTTCGGAATTTAAAATGAGTAAACCTCATTGCAAATTGTAAATAATACTAGGCTCTAGTGTAGGTATACTTCCATTTTTCCTAAATTACATGCATTAAAATTCGTAATCTACTACGCAAGATTATATTCAGGATTGAATTTTTTTCAACATAAATTTATTGAGCCAACGTGAAATATATTCGCTTTTTTATTTCTCTGCAATAAAAGGTGAAATTTGTGACATCTAGGGATTGTATTCGAATTGTAATTCTACTGATTGATTCTAACCTAATGAACCTGGTTCATAAAGGCCAATTAACACATGGTTTCTAATTGAAGAGCTATTGGAAACCACTAGGTACAATAAACTAATAGAATATGTTAACTGTTATTCGCATGCTCTTGTGAGACATTCCGCTTTCTCTGATTGGATTAGAAGTCAATGTAGCCAACAATGAATACATTTTTAACTGCCAATCATTTATTTATCGGAATTAGAACTACAGCATGAAAATTCTTTAAAGAAAATACACCTATAGTTTATCACTGTAGTATTAATTTAAACTTGATATCAGTCTATTTTATTACAACTTTTCGTTCATTTGATAAATTTTATTAAAACAACGATAAAAATAAAATAAAAACAATAATAAATGTTAATGTGAAAAGTCTTCTTCATTTTCTCTTACTTGAGTTTCCTCCAAAATGGGTTTCTTGCAATTTTTTAGTAGCATATATGTTGTTGTTGGCGAGTTGTTTGGTCTCTATCACTCTACATAACTTTACTCGCGACGCGGAGAGGATTATTTTCTCATCATTTTATTTGTGGAAATTGGGATTTATGGAATATAAACAAGTACATAATTCATCCTTACATATGACAAGAAAGTTTCTGATCACAATGGAAATCACCAGTCATTTTCAAACAAACAAGGATCTTCAATAACATTATTAGCATATTTTTTGAAATATTTTATTTTTCTGGAGTATTTGATGTTCTTTGATGTTTTTTGAAGTCCTGAACTTTATCTAAAAATGAATGGATATAAACAGAATATCTGCTTTCAAGTGTAATAAAAAGCAAACGGAAAAATTCACCCCTGAAAGTTTGTGCGCAGACAAATCTTTGAAAAGTTTAATTAGTGTGACTTTTCGTGCTCATGAAATATATGATTACAAAAATGAAATTGTATTACTATTCAGTTTGCCCTTTTTTATACAGTTATGAACAGATTATCTGTTGATCTATTGTTTGAAATCCTAACAATATTAAAAAAACGTCATCATATTTTCATATTCATAATGAGATACTTTGTAGTAATAAAAATCATCAGAATTGTTTAGAAGTTTTGTCTATCAAATTCCAGTAAAATTTTTATAATCTTCAGATGAACAGGATAACTTTGAATTGAAAGGGGTATATTTTTAAGATTGATTAACTTTTGAGAAAAGAAGGTTTTGGCTTTCTATACAGTTTGAAATACAAACAGCATAGAGAAAAGTGTTTATGTATAATTCAGTGTTCCAAACAATGCATTACAAACCCAACCTCTTCATTATCTATATTAATAAAAATGCCTTATACTCCTCCTTTTTACAATGAAATTTTGTAGCTCTGAGCTTAGTTGAAACAGTATTTCTCAATTACCTTACTGTTATCATGATGTCATTGATTCACCTGTATCCTGTTTGTTTTTCTAAATTAAACTTTTACTTGTTATGCTCCCAATGGATTTATCTAAAGATAGCGAGAAACTCTATATATGTATGTTTTGTAAGACCGATAATCACTATACAAATAAATCGTATATTTATATCAATTGTTAAACCTTCCATTGTGCACGTGGTATTCATGAGCCATCGAATTAATTTGAATTATTCTGTGTAATCCTCACTATTTGGCCTGTTGCCATTTTTAGAACATTCCTCATAAAGCTGCTAGTCACGAATGACGTAGTTGAGAAAATACAAACAATTTAGATTGTCAGTTTTAACTTTCACTAATGTAAATGTGAATTTATGTCGCAAGTATTTATTTCATTCACTATACGGTATTCACTGATAAAGATGTATATTTGTTCGTTATCAGTTTTTTTTCACGAAACCATGAGACTTGTGCATGTTAAACCAATTCGTGAACTATTTTCTCCTGTAACTATATCAGAGTAACCATATTCGAGATTTGTATATCGAGTTATTCATTCAAAAAGGACTAATTCAACTATGTAGAATGATTTTTTTTGCTAAATGTAAGAATCCTGTTTACGTTACTTCAAGTTAATGATAAGTTCATTTAAAGTCCTCGTTTTGAATATCTCATAATCAACTAGTATTTTTTTTTACAGCCAGCTCGACATTCAAAATTGGAGAAAGCTGACATTTTGGAGATGACTGTCAAGCACCTACAAAATCTTCAAAGGCAACAAATCGCAATGTCAGCTGCTGCCGATCCCTCCGTCGTCAATAAATTCCGTGCTGGGTTCAGTGAATGTGCCACGGAAGTTGGACGATTTCCTGGACTAGACCCCATGGTGAGACGAAGACTTCTGCAGCATCTTGCTAACTGCCTTTCGCAAGGTTCAAAAGCGCAAGAGGTACCTCAAGTCCAAGTTCACATCCTTCCTAATAACCAAAAGTCCGTCGAGCAACAAGTTCCACAGAGCAGCGGCATCATTTTGAGTAACGGAAATGGAACCGGCTTGCAGCTTGTTCCAACAAGATTGCCGAACGGCGATATCGCTCTGATACTACCCAACTCAACACATTCTCAACAACATGCTGTGAATTCGCCGATCCCCCTGCTCGTGCCTATAGTACCAGAAAGGACTCCTTCCGTAGCATCAGCTACAAGTACTTCATCAAACTATTCCCCCAGCCATAGTCCGGAACCAATGGACACTATGTTTTGCCAACCGAAACCATTGTCATTGGTCGTGAGGAAATGTGTAGAACCTATTGAAGAAAAGCCTTGGAGACCGTGGTGAAAAAGTTGATGGAAACTACCAAAATGTGATCGTTCGTGAGAATTGTGATATCTACTTAGTGGAGATCCTTGAGAAAATGAGACGGAAAACGAATCAGTATTAATTCATACCTATTTCTGAATGTCCCAGTTAGGTTGTAAATATGAATATGGTATATTTTCTCGCAGTCAAGGGTTCTGGTAACTGATCTGTCATTTTAGAGTATCCCGCGATAATCTGAAGTGAAACTGTAAAAAGTGTGGAAAGCCATTATATGTTCGAGAGATCAGGAAGTAGAACTCAAAAAATGTTTTATTGTTTGATAGATCTTATGTGATTTAAAAATATTAAGTATATGTTTGAAAGATGTAATATATAGATGAAATTATTTAGAAATAATGTGCCTTATAAACAACAAGATCATCAAAGTCTTCCAATTGAGTTGGTATTTCATATATTTAATATGTTCATAAATACGAAAAATATATTTGTAAATTATATCATTATTTGAACAGAGTGTTTTTTTAATAACAATTAACTGATTTTAAAGTTCAGACAATACACAAGCCCTACAAGAAAATCCTTATGACGCTCTTAAAGCGATGCTTGTGGAAAAGTAGCGATTCACATTGGATTTGAATCGCTGGAGACTAAATCCAGTTGGAAAACCGTTCTCAGGAAGTTTATTTCACATAAACGCAGTTATGCAAGTGATACAGTGAAGTTTGGGGTGTACTGAGTTGAACTTCGAAACGGTGAGCAGCCATAGTCTGTCACGAATTTCCGATATGTACAGCTCTTAGTGGAATCAAATACGCCAAGTCACTTGAACACCTCTCGTGAAAGTATCTATAAATTGGAGAAAAATCTACGAACTTTTTTGGATATTCCAGACCAACGGTCGGCAACAGGCGGACTGCGGTCCGTTTGCGGATTGCGAAAGCTTGAACCTCGAGTATTGTAATGTGTTGTATACCAAATATAAATCAATACGTCGATAATTTCACTAGTTCGGACNATTGGTATAATCGTTCTCTCTTTCAAGGTCCCGTCTTCGGGTAGGTTTCTCTTCTTCTTCGACCGGAACGTTGGTGTAAAGGCTTTTCACGTCGAAACTCAGTTTTCCCTAGTAGTTCGACAAAATGCCTTGAATCCTTCATAAAAGACGATGTTTTTCTTTGTAATGGTTGTATTAAGGGAAGTAAAAATCTAGACAATTTTTGAGTAGCCGAATCTCTGGAGGTGATGATCGGTCTAAGCGGAACGTCCTTCTTGTGGATTTTGGGTAGTCCATAATTGTTATTTTCAGCTATTCATTTAAATTCTTCTTTTTTAGTTGTTTCAGGGATATCAAATCATTTTATACAGTAGACAATGGAAGTCCAAACTAGTGAAATTCATCATGAAACAATGTCAATCACCTCCAAACAATACGTAGATGAGATATACTTCACCTTCAATTATTGAAATAATATTTTAAGCCACATAGAATTCAACTTAGTACTTATTTTATTTTAAGTTACCTAGTTAACTTGTACGAATACCTATAACTAATATGGTTTGATCAGTTTCCTATCTAGCGAATTGGTAATAATTTAAAATTTTTATTACGCACACAAAACATCCATAGGTTGAACTACCTACCATTTTTACGGAAATGTGTTCTCTCAACCCCAGCAATGATTGGCAGAGAAAAAGGTGTAGTAAAGAGAATCAGGGATAAAAACCCAGGTCTAATATCGTATCAGTGCATAATTCATCAAGTAGCCCTTTGTGGTGAACTCAGTGCTACACCGAAACAAGTGATGAACAGCTTGGTCAAGTTGAATAATTTAATGAAATCTCATCCTGCTCTTCAGCATAGACCTTTCAGCGTATTTTGACTCACTACATCATAACAATGTTCCTTGGCTAAGTAAAGGTCAAGTTGGTGAACGTTTATGGGTTATTTCGCAAAAATTTTTTGCAAAATTTAAATACGCAAGGAGCCGGAAATCACTTTGAGTAGGTTGAGGCTTTTCTAAAAGAATGAATATATATACAGGGCTATCCAAATTCGTTTCTGTACATGGGGATCTCGTAAACGATAAGAGACAGAGTGTCGGTTAAATTGTGGCAAAGTTGCGTATTTTAGAGACCTATTCAATGATGTAAAATCGAAATGAAACATATCTACATCAAAAATATATTATATGTGTTTTTATGAGCAGAAAAAAAATGATAGCAATAGTAACATCCGAAACGAACAATATAATTGTAATGAAAATTGATATGAGGTAATTTATATACACAAAAAAATTAATGGAGCAATAAATATTCTAATTGGAGTCCATCCATTTCGAGACAAATGATGAGCCGATAAGATGGCCTGCAAGATCACCAGATCTTACTATTTTGGACTATTTTCTATGGGGACAGTTAAAAATGGGATTTACGCTGGCAGAAAGATAGAAAATGTGGAAGAGTCCAAATTGAGGATTTGAATTATTTCGCAACATTGCAGCAAATAAGTGTATTCAGGGCAATTAATAATATGAAAAACCGAGTTCAAAAATGCTGGAAATGGATGGACTCCAATTCGAAATGAAAATTGAAATGAAGTAATTTATATACAGAAAAAAAATCAATGGCGCAATAAATGTTCGAATTGGAGTCCTTCCATTTCAATATATTTTTAAACTCGGTTTTTCATATTATTTATTGCCCTTAATACACTTATTTGCTGAATTGTTGCGAAATCATTCAAAATCCTCAATCTGGAGTCTTCCACATTTTCTATCTCTCTGCCAGCGTAAATCCTATTTTTCAATATCCCCTATAGAAAATAGTCCAAAATATTATGGAGCTCCACAAATGTGGTGGCCTGATCTGACCTTCATGAAGTATCAAAAGTTATTGGGGTTTGTACAGTTTTTTGGTTCGGAACAGTGTACCAAGCTTTTGAGGAGCAGCCTCTGCAATTCCAGCGACATGATTGTGCCAATACATAATGGTGTCCATTTTATCCCCCAACAAATTCATCGAAGCAGAAAGTGGAACTGTCTGTCCTGACATTATTATGTTCGGTTCGGAGATATTCATTTTTGGAGAAAATTGATGGCTTGGTTTTCGTTTCTTTGAATTGAATCTGATTACTTTCACCCCAATTTGGAATCATCTCTAGATCCTCATTAAGATATTCAACCTCCTGCTGCCGGCGAAGATGTGTATTCACAGCTGATGTCCTGGAATCCAAATGGAATGACGAGAAGTGAAGTGTTCTGTCATCAGCAAAGCTATGTAATGGATTCTTGGAAGGTTGGAGGCAATATGGTTTCCTGGGTAGCACCAGGTTGATGGTAAAACAATTCGAGAGATATCCATCGACAGCCACTTGCAGGAGAATGTTCTTTCAGGCAGCTGGAGAGCCATACACAAAAATGATCCAACAAGTCATATGGAATGCTATGAATTGTTGGTAATCGTGTCCCAGGCATTTTGCTTTTTGGGTCGGAACTTTCCTGCACAGATGTGAGGTAATATTTCGAAACCAGTCTGTAGGTGATCTACTCGAATGGTTTCAACTGGATGAACAAGAAACATCTGCGAGACTAACATCTGTGAGGTAACTTTCATAAACTTCTGTCAGAAACAATTCAATGTCCAGCGTAGTATTAGCCGGCGAAATAGTTGCTTTCTGGCAGGTATTCATCAGAATATATTATGTAGGTAATCGGAAAAAAGATGGGTTCCAAAATTTTGAAAATTTCAAATGTTTTATAACTTGGAGCTGTGTTATAGATCATATGGTAAGTAATTGCTGTTGAACTGATATATAATCAAGAGAGTAAATATTTGTTGTGAGATATTTGTCTTACATCCTGGTACAATGTTCAAAATTGTAAATACTCCCCGTTATTGGGTTTAATTTGTTTACTTTATTCAAGGCTGATTTGCGTGATAACCTTTCTGTAAAAATTTTTCCGAAAATCGTAGGCTTCTGAGAAAATCGATTTGCATGTTCGAAAATTCGATGCCTCATTTGTTGTTTGCAATCATTTATATAGAATACACGTCCTCTTCCATAACATTCCAGAAGCCAATGTCAATAGGGTCAAGATGTGGACTTCTGGCTGGCCCCTTCCAACCCAACGTCCAGAGTACAGACCATTATCTCTAACTTCGTTATTACCAGGCGAACCGTCCGGAGAAAACAAGGCAACATTTTAACAAAACAGTCTGGTGGAACAAACACTTAGAAATCATCAGAAGGGAAGTGCGGAGGCTATTTGACAAAGCTAAAATCAACCAAGACTGGGCGGAATACAAGGGTACACTCACACAGTATAATAGAGAAATTAGAAAGGCTAAAAATTATTCGAGGTCAAAGGTTTTCAGGAAAACGGTGAGTTTCATCATAAAATATTCTCAGATAAAAATTGTCGATCATAAAATTTTATACAAAAAACATATCATTACTTTTTTTTCTTAGAGCCACCATTTCTGAGATACGACGAGTCAGCTATAGAGCAATTTAATTTGACAAATGCAACTATTGTTGTTGGTGAAGATGTAGACTTACTCGTACTTCTTACTGCTCGAACTCCACCTGAAGAAACTATTTTCTCTTCGAAGCCAAGAAAAGCTCAAATATTCGTCGAAAAGTTTATTTACTTTTGCTAAGAGTCAAAATCATGTACTATTTTTACATGCAATAACTGGCTGTGATACGACGTCTGCATTTTACAGGAGGGGTAAAGCAACAGTCTTTAAAATGTTTGAAAAACAAGATTCAGTTCAATGTGCTGAAGTTTTCAAAAAAAAGTAATTCGACTCCACAAGAAATTATCAACAACGGGATTCAGTTTCTTCTTTCTATGTACAAAGCTCCGAAAAAAACACCTGCTTAGATAAGTAATGATATGTATCGTAAAAAACACTAAAAATAAGAGACAGGTGCAATTAGCTTGTCTTCCTTCAACCGCAGTTGCTGCAACATCTTTTCAACATCAACATCTATATTACCAAGTTCAAGTGTGGCTTGGTTATTAGCTGGACCCAAAAGACTGGGGTTGGAAGTTGGTCGACAATGCATTAGAATAGAACCTATTCAGACTTTACTCCCACCTACGCCGGAAAAACTGCTGAACACAATTTTTTGCAACTGTAAAAAGGGATGCAGCGCTAAATGTTGTTGTAAAAAAGTTGGACTGTTGTGTTCTCTGGCATGTACACATTGTCAAGGCCAGACATGTTCTAATGCTGAATAAACGCCGTTTTCTAAATGATTAAGTGTTTATACAGTGGAGTTCGAGGTGTACTGAGTTGAACCTCAAAATGATGAGCAGCCACAATCCGTCGCGTATTTCTGATATACACTGCTCTTGGTGGAATCAAATATGCTAAGTCACTTGAATACTTTCCATGAAAGTATCTATAGAAGAGAGACAAATCTCCAACCGTTCTTCGATATTCCTGACTATCAAGGTTGCAAGAGATATCGTGAAAGATTCAATATTTGGTGTGGATTCAT